TTCCTGTAGACGGACGGGTCGCCCCCCCCCCCCCCCAGGGTCAATCGGTTGGTCCACTCGGGCTAGGGTCAACTGAGTACCAGTGTTGGGCGTTCTCAACGGGTGTTTTGAACATCGTGTCTGATGCTGGTGTTTGGGTATAGTGCTCACGAAACCCTGGCGTTGCTGCAGCTGGTCCTTGTTTGACATTGTAGTGCGTCCCCTTGTAGGACTCCATGACAGGTGGGGTCAGTGGACACTGAAACTTTTTTCTTAATTATAGATCCCCCCCAATCCAAATGAAAAAATAGTAAAAACTCCGCTTATTGGTAAACAACCATGCCTAGAAGACTCTGCACAGCTATCTCCACCACAAGGTGGCCCTGTACCTCGCTTTCTGATCTTACATTCACTATCTGATAAATCTTTAGAGCAAATGTCCCCCTTTTTTATTCAGAAGGGCTTAGAGGGGCTTACTGGCTCTCCAAAGTCAGTTAAGAAACTCCGTTCTGGAGACATCTTGGTCAAAACATCCACAGCTAAGCACAGTGAACTCCTCTTGAATTCAAGGGCCATTGGGGATATATCTATTGAGATTACTCCCCATGCTTCCTTGAATTCATCACGAGTAATTATTGTTGAGAGGGACTTGAAGTTTATCCCCGAGTCAGAGATCCTTGCTGGTCTCTCCAGCCAAGGAGTTTCAGCTGTTTGACGGATCTCCACTCATAAGGATGGTATTATGGTGCTGACCTCAGTTCTTATTTTGACATTTTCATGACCACGGCCACCGGCCGCTGTTAAGGCAGGTTATTTGAACTGTAAAGTATGGCCCTATATTCCCAACCCTCTCTGTTTTCAGTGTGCCAGCGGTTCGGTCATTCAATGACATCTTGTCATGGTTCTATGACATGTGCTTGTTGTGGTGGCAAGGACCTGCACTGTGTTAATTGTAGTGGTTCCCACCCCTCTTACTTTAGGTCTTGCCCTAAGTGGGTGGAGGAGAAAGAGGTACAGCGTTTGAAGACCATTCACAACATTTCCTATCCAGAGACTCGGAAGCTATTGTTCCCTACTCTGTCTCAGACATATGCCACTGCACTACGCTCCACTGCTACAGTGGGAGTGCAGATGGACCTTTCCGTGCCTCCATCTGTGTCATTTTCATGTCATGTGAGAGGTTTTCTGCCATCCATGGTTAATAGAGTTGATAGGTCTAAGTCGACTCCAATCTCTGTCCCCACTATTCCTTCCAGTGACTACCTGAGTCAACCTCCTCGAGCACCAGCTTCTGGTGTTCATGTGAGTCCTTCTTTGGCCCCTAAAAGCAGGACAATCAATCGATCATGTCCTCAGTCATTGGATTCTCACACTGATGACAGAGATCAAGGGCAGGATTCATGGAGGTCGATCGACCTCCCTCTAGTAAAAAAAAACGGCGTGGTCGTAAACCGAAGGGTTCCCCACCATGTTCTTCTAAACATACATAACAATGGCCACTTTGATACAGTGGAACTGTCGAGGTTTGCATTCTAATCTCGATGACATTAAGGCC